GCGCCCCCTGCCGCCCGCCCACGGCGCTGCCCGGCGCGGCCGCCCCGCCAGCAGCCGCCTTCCTGCACGTGCATACCTTTGGATATATGGGTATGTGTATGTATGGAAGTTCACCGTTCGCAGGCAGCCGGGCGGCGCTGCGACAGCCCTGGTGACATCGGCTCAGCCCGGCTGTCTGTAACACTTCCAGGGGTTAACAATGTCTAAAAACTTAGAGAGCTGTCTCATAGCAGAGCTGTCATGATCTATAGGGTCTTGCCAAGTATTTTGTGTATAAACTACACAGTGTATTCAGGATGTGATGCATTTTTTTGTACTGTTATTATATGGAGTTAATCAGAGTGTGTTTTCTGATCTGCAGCCTGTCCTGAAGCTTCTCTCCAACAAAGTGCCTTTTCCCAGGTTTCAGTTATGTCATGAAAGTGTTGGGTTTAATTTCTGCAAATGAATAATAAAGCACCTGTTAGTACACACCATTTCCTAATTATAAGTTTAATAATTGCAATTAATTAGAAATGTTAGTTACAGCAAATACTGAAATTGTTATGCATTTGGTATGTATGCATTGCACATAAATATGTATGACTTTACCACTGAGTAGCAATTAAGTTGTTGGTTCTGCCAAATTCTTGGCAGTGAATTTTGGTTTGTAAATGTCACAGGGAGCAATAATTTGGGAGCTTTTCTGTTTGTAAACCACTCAGCTTGTCTGTCAGAAGCCACGCAAGGCAGAGTTGCATGTATCTGTGCAACCCTGTTACGTGGTCGAGCGCGGCCCCGGAGCAGGTGGACACAGTGCCGACGGCGTGGGTGGAAGGGGGCCCTTCTCCCAAGGGAGTGCGTGCTGGCGCTCCCACCTTGTGGGTACATTGGCCTAGGCTGTAGGTAAAGGCCTGGGCATTAAAATGCCGTCTGTCCTATGCTTGCAGGTGGTTCTCCTGGGGATTGACATCATTTCCGCGCTAGTGTCCCGCTTGCAAGATCGCTTCAAGGCCCAGATTGGCACAGGTAAGTGTGGGTGGCGGGCATATTGCCATTGCTCTGGTGGGATCCACTTTGGCTGCTGTACGCAGAGCCTTTTGATCTCGTACACAAAGCCTTTTTTCTCCCCAGGAGAGCACTCGGGAGGCTTTTGGTGGTTTCAGGCTCCGCTGAAGGGCGGGAGGGCTGACCCTTCCATCAGGTGGGGGGAGAGCCGAGAGGCTGTGCCACTGTCCTAGTTTCCTTCTGAGGGGTTTGGATGTTCCTGTTTTGTTTCCTCAGTGCTGCCAAGTTTACTTGATAGGCTGGGAGACTCTAAGGACTCGGTGAGGGAGCAGGATCAGACCTTGCTGCTAAAAATCATGGAACAAGCTGCTAACCCTCAGGTATGCTCGACAGCTCTTTGCAGTGTGACTGACTGACTGCTTAAAAAGGAGAACTTGTCTCTGTCAGAGGGTTTTCTCCCGTGGCTCTGTCTGAAATGGTTTCATCTCCCTACAGCTTGTTGTGAGATATTTGCTTCACTTGAGAATGCTGTTGTGTGTCAGGGTACGCATGGGAGTGTGAGTGTCAGTGGATTTCCCAGGGAGGGGATGGGATGGGTGGATGTCAGAGTAGTTGTTCTGGGTCTTTGGAAGGAGCTTGCTTTCTGTGAGTATAAGTATTGTTTTACCTAGTGGGGAGTTACTGTGAAGTCAGCACAGAACAAAGGATTAGTCAGATCTAAAAGCGTCTTCCTACTTCTTGTCCGGTTCTGCTTGGATGGATGTAAAGCTTGTATTTAAGCTCCAGAAATGTTATGGTGTATGTCTGCTGGAAGAAGGAATCTGTGCCTTCCCCTGCCTCTCTTTTTTTCCTGTCTCACTTTCTTTTCTGTCTTCCACAGTACGTGTGGGACAGGATGCTAGGAGGATTCAAACACAAGAATTTCCGGACAAGAGAAGGGATTTGCCTCTGCCTTATTGCAACACTCAATGTGTAAGTCAGAATCTCCTGCAAACCTATGCTAGGAACACAAACCTGCTCTGTGATTCACACCGGTGCTCTTTTGTTCTTTATTCCCAGATCTGGAGCTCAGAGTTTAACACTGAGTAAGATAGTGCCACATATATGTAACTTACTTGGAGATCCAAACAGCCAGGTAAGCTTTTGCTGTGAGTCATGTCTAAAGGTTGTGCTGATTGCCCTGTTGGTGAACGAGGCTCTGCATTCTGGCTGGTAAATTAGCTAATCGTGCTGCTGGTGGTGAACTCTGAACAATGCTGTTCAAGAGCCCTTAGTTGGTTTTTGAACTATGCCTAAACCAGCACATCAATTACTCCAAGAGTTCAACAGAACAACATGAATCTGCAAGTGAGACATGAGGTGAACAGAGCAGGAAACCGTTGTGGGAAGGGAGCTCCTGTGCCTGATGGGAAGCTGCAGGGATCCCTCTGGGCTCAGCACAGCACCTTTCTACCTTCAGAGAAGAACCAGTCTGAGCAGGGAGGGAAAACGGAACCAGTCAGACAGCCTGGCGACATGCACTGCCAGAATTTACACAGGAAGATTCTGAACGAGGGCTGGAAGCTGTACAGGATCCTTAAATCAGTGATGCAAAACAAATTAAAGTACATGTTGAAACAGAAAATCTGTCACTTCTGCGTGCTTTTTGTCCTGCCCTGGACAGGACCTAATCTGCAATTGGATGCAAGTATGTGAGGTTAGTGAGAAGAGGGATGGGGAAGCAGGGTTCAAACTGATGTCATGTAACATGGGTATTAGCAATTTTTTAATATTCCTGTTGTCCACCTGGCATGGGTGATGCATACACATGATCCAGGTCTGGAGTGTTTATCTGGAAGGAGGTGTGGGGCAGCCAACTGAAGAATGGTTTAATGCTAACTCTGAAGCTGGCCATATCCTCATGGCTGTCAGGGCCTCCCCTTGCTGAAGAGGAGGACAGTGTGAAGCAGCCTTCCCTTGCTGGTTGTGCCAACACAGGAGGATAAACCTGTCACCCCAAGAAGTTTTGAAGGAAGTTTAATGTTCAGGATCCTTTGTAGTTCTGAGCCGTGTCTGAGCAAGCTGTTACTCTTTGAGGGGGATGCTGGGTTTAGGACTGGACTTGTTGCACAAGTGTCTGCCTCATCTTGGCTCTGCCATTGGTGAGCTGTTGAATGAATCAGAATTTTGGTGAGGGGACTAAGGCCTGAGGCATGTTTTTTCCTCTGCACTCCCTCTTCCATGTGCCTGGCACTGCTTGTTATCCCAGTTCCCACATGCAACAGGAAATAAGGCTGATCTCTTGCCCCTTATCCGGGGTCTAGTGTCTCATCCCAACGGTTACGTGGCTCATGCCCGAACCGACGAGACAGCCATCTCTGTCAAAGTGGCTGTGGGTGAACACTGCCTGTCCTGGGCTCCGGGAGCCCCGATGCTTGGTCGGTGCTGCCCTCTCTTGGCGAGAGGTGATGGAGAAACACAGATCCGGGTCAAGCGCAGTGGTTTTCCCTTTTGTTGTGGACGTAGAAGCTGTTCCGTTACTGCCCTTTTCAGAACGAGTGGTGGTGGTGTTTTCAGCTAATGCAATTGCATAACCCAGTGAGCATCTGCTATGACAACAGTATTTAAACTACGACTATTTTCTCAAAAATAAAATGGAACATTAAAGCTTTGTTATTGCTGTGGTAGATTAAAGCAAGTATTGCTAGCAGGAGCTCCCTGCCTTGCCCAATATGGGGTTAACCCAGTCCTGCAACCATACCTCTGATTAACTTGACACACAGAGGTAGTCCTTCCAGATCATGCTGTGAGCATCTCCGCGGTCGGCTGCGCTGCATGCCGTGGCTGGAGAGGGCACAGGGGCAGGCTGGGGGTATGGCAGAGCTTATTGGCATGCCCTGGCTGCTATGCCCCTGCGACTGGTGTCTGGGCCCTGGGACTGGTGAACTCACTGCAGGCAGAGGTGTGGGTGCTGCGACCTCCCCTCCCTGGCTGTTGTAGGCAGAGAGTGAGGCTGGGTTAAGGTCTGCGTACCCAGAAACTGGGGACACCAAAGAGTCCCTCCTGAGCTGTGCCCACATGTCCTGCCTAGTGGTGTGTGGGGCTGACGGGCAGAGAGAGGAGAGGCAAAATCGCTGAGTAAGGGCTGGCATGAGTGAAGGCAGCAGTTTGGAAACTGGCAGCGACCTGCTAAACGGGAAGGCTGTGGAGCAGGAGAATGGGGCAAGATGAGCATGAGTCAAGCATTAGAGTTTTTTTTTGGCCAGGAAGCAGGGCATGTGTGCTTGCCCTTTGGCTCCCACCTATAGATGAATCTAGCTTGTGCCTGCAAAACATCCTGTGTCCAGTCCTGATGTGTGTGGGTGCTTGAGTAGCTGCCAGGCCATCTTCTGAGAAGCAGAAGTGCATGGCTCCATGGGTATTTCTGTAGACTGAGGAGATAGTTTACCTTTTCTGCCTGCTGTATCTGATGGAGGAAGGGAGTTCAGTACAGAAATGTGAGACTTTGATCGAATTTGTGGCTCTTCTGTTGGGTGGAGGGAAGATGTTTCTTGCAAATCAGTTTGGAAAGCATGCAAAATTCATGGTGACTCAGGTGATTGAGCACTCCTCCCTCCATCCACATCTTGTTATCAACACAGAAACGTAAGTTTGTAAGATGGCACTAAAAATCAATTTGTTTTATAATGTACTAACAATAGAAGGTCTATTCATGTCCCTTTCCTTCCTTTTTTTGATCCAGTAAATATACCTGTTGCACACAATGGGTGGAGTTTGGCAAAGGCAGCCAAGCTCCCTGTGCGTGTCCCTATGTACAAAACCTTTCATCGCGTGTCTTGACTGCATTGTCAATTAAATTAGACCTGCTGATACTGTTAATATCTGAAATGAAGGGATGGGAGCTCCTTCATGAACTCTGTGGTAACGTGTATAGTGGCAACTGTTGTTGCTGAGGAATATGCAAATTCCTTTCTCCAAGATAGGGCAGGGATTTGTTTATTTAAATTATAAAGATGATTGATTTCTCTCATATCTCACATTCAGGTTCGAGATGCAGCAATAAACAGCCTTGTGGAAATTTACAGACATGTTGGTGAACGTGTAAGGGCTGATCTCAGTAAAAAAGGGTTACCCCAATCTCGGTAAGTTGAGAACATCCTTATGTCTTCACTATTTTTGGACTGCTTTTTATTCCCTTCCTTCCTTTAGAAAGCTTCAGGAGCTGCATGACTGAACCTTTTCCTGGGATCAGGGTTTACTTTTTTTTATCCTACAAACACTTCCTTAGATTTCACTTAATGTAGATCCTGTACCTTTGCCCACCCAAATATGCCACTGTGTCATTGCAAAATCAATAAAATTATTACAGATGTGTAATTAACTGATTTAAGGTTTAATGTTTTTCTTTTATGTTCCGCATGTGTAGAGAGAACACCTCAGAGTAGCATGTGTTTATGCAACTTAGAAGGCTGTCATAAAGAAAAAAAACCCCACAGTCAGTATCATCTGTTCAAGGCTTTATTTAAAAAAAACCCAAAAAAACCCCAAAACCCAAACCCCCACCAAAAACAAAGCCCTGTCCCTCTGCTTCTGCCGCTTCAGGTGCGGTAAGAAAGCTGCTCTGCACCTTGCTGTAACCTCCCGTGTGCAGGGTGGAGGAGCATGGTTAGACCTGAGGGTGGGGTAGATGGCAGCGTGTCAATGCACAGAGGGAGGAGGTTGCTGCAGAGGTGGAGTGCGTGCAGGGGGAGGCAGTTCTGTGGCATCTTGTTCTCCAGTGAAAACATCTGCTGCTGCGATGTGGCTTAAAGTAATAAACTCTGCGGGAAGGAATAACAAGATGTCATAGGATCTTCTGCTCTACCAGGCCTGTGACATGAATATGAGAGAAGTGACAGGGCCAAAGACAAATGTCGTGTGAAGTTATTTTTTAGAGGTGTTTTTTGTTTTATTTCTGCAAGTAGTTGAGATGGGCGAAGTGGTAGTGAATTGGAAATGCATCTATGATTGGGCACGTCACATCTTCAGTAATGTAGTGTTTACAATTGTATCTCTTACCCCTCAATGGTATCCGTTGTTTCTCAGTTTTTCTTATCAGCTGTTGCATGTTGTGATTTTTTTTTAAATTTTAAAATAACTTCCTTCCACACTGACGTTTTTGACAGTGCTCCCAATGACCTGAGTAAAGCAAAACTTGTTCTATAACATCTTACATTAGAAGATTCCTAAAAATTAAATTCAGCTGTTCATTGTGTATTTCTTTGACTTTCAAACAGGTTGAATGTTATTTTTACAAAATTCGATGAGGTCCAGAAATCTGGAAACATGATCCAGAGTTCAGGTGGTGAGTAGAAGTGCTTGTATTCTTCTTGGTGTTTTTAGCAATTTTCAGTTGGTGAGGACACAGAAGCACACATTCTGTTAGGGAAAACAAGTGTGGGTGGTGGTTCAGAAATACACACGTAGCTTTTGCAGCAAATAAAATTGACGTTTAGTTAGTCTGCTGTGTCCTCTTAGTAATATCAGAAGGAGAATGGAGCATAAGTTTTGAGAACAGAAGGTGGTGTTAGAGCTGTCCTTTTCCTTTTGAGTTTCGTTAGGGAAATATATCTTCTATTTTCAAGTCCATGTGCATCTTTGTTTAAATTGTTCATATGGTAAATTCAATAGTGATTTAAGAGAAGAAGCCTTTTCAGTTTAATGCCCTAAAGAGCACAGAATGTGTACATATTAATGTAGTTGTGTTCCATTTAAAGCTCATTTTGTTTAGGGATTGTGTTTTGCAGTTCCTAGGTTTGCATACTTCCTATGTTTATGACTGATAGGGAAAGCCCTTATCAAAGCCTTAATTCTGTTTTTTCCTTAATTCTGTGTTTTCTTGTCTGAGACTAGTATTTTTCTTGCTTTAAAAACAAATGTCTATTACTGCTTTTATTCTAGATAAGCTTATGAGCTAGAAAGTATTTTTAATAAGTATCACTCATTTTTAGGGATAGATTCTTGAGAGAATTATTGGTGAAGGAATTCATCTTTCTGCTAACAGCCAAGCAGAGCAGAGATGAAGAACATGGGTTCAGTGCTGTGGGTTCCTATCAAGCTCACACTCTCTGCAAGGCTGAGAGCAGGAGAGATGATGTCCCCGGTCTTTCCCACTATGCTGTTAGGAGCCAAGAGAGCAGAGACCTCTCTACTCTTAAGTTGGAAAAAAAATTTTTTTCAATTCTAGGCACCATTCTTCTTGCCATATCTATTTTAAAATATGGTAAACTTCATTCCTACAGGAAGTAATAAAATGGATTTATTTGAAAATTCTGAAGTTGTATTTTGGTTTATTCTGAAATGTGATGTGATTCTCTTGTTTGTTTGGGAATGCTGAAGACCTAGTGTGGGTTCTTCTGTGATGAAATGGGTTAAGACTATACTTTTGCATAATGTGGGAAAATATTTACTGTATGAGTATATGAGGCTTACAGTGGCAAAAAAGTGCAGTTGAGAAACAAATATCCTTGTACTTCTTTAAAAGGGGGGAAGCAAATATGTAATCCCTTAGCAAACATCTTAAGGTTTACAACCTCAGGGTGTTCTGGAATCCTCGCTCAAACTGAAACAAGCTTACTGCTGATTCTGTTCTTCTGCTTTCCACTTGGCTAGGCTAAGGTATGGTTTTTTTTTGTTTGTTTGGGTGTTTTTTGTGGTTTTTTTTTTGTTTGTTTTGCTAGTAGTGGAATGAAATGGGGTTTTCAAAAAAGAAAAAGTTAGTTTGATGCATTGTTGTACTATGCAGGTTGGTACTGTCTGGAGTTTGAGGAGACATACTTGTGCTCTGTGGTGAGATGTGTTGCTACATGGACTTTTAAAACAAAAACTGTGGTGGAAAGATGGCTGTAGGTGGGATTTCTGTTGGGTTTCTTCTTTAATAGGAGGGGGGAAGATTTTGAAGCTCAATGTGCCCCTAGTTAAATTTAAGCCAAGTTTACGGAGGGTTTTTCTAATCCAAAAATGAAGATGATCTTAGTAAAGAATCAATGTATCACAACCGATCAGAAGAGTATTTAGTGTGAAATAGATCAGATGTTTGTTCTTATACATCAATTAAGAGCAAGAAACTAGAGTTCAGTTAGCTTTGCAACGTGAATTTTAGCTATGCAATCATTTTTACATTCATACCAGACAGTACCAGAGACATTGCTTGCTCAATTGTTGGCTTTTGAGAGGTAGTTCTGATCTCTAGACTGAGCATCCCAGTGCATGCTGTGATGTGATTCAAGGCTGCTGGCACCACTGAAGATATCAAAAGGAGTAAGATGGGACAATGGGGGTGACCTCTTCTGGGCTGACAATTCTTAAAGTGCTATTTCTTTCCAAGAAAGCAAATGATCTGTTTTAAAGCTCTGAAGGAAGGATTCCATAGGAACGTTTTGACTTTTTTTCCCTTAAGTGCAAGTAAAGCATCTATGTGTATCAGATCAGCTAGTTTTAGGCTTCATTGAGAATTATTTTTTTTTCTTTTAATAACCCTTCCTCTGTCACTGTTTAGATGAATTTGAAGATTTAACTTCCTTGCACATACAGTGCCTGAGACCTTACACATCTTATGTCCTTGACTTCACTGACAGTTTTTTTTGTGCATCCAGACACAAGTACTCCTGTCTTCCTCGCTCAGCTTAACCTGATCAGCCGAAGTCTCGCTATCTGTGCTCACGCTGTGGCTGGATGCAGTCTCTAGAGCGTTTCTCCTCTGCTGGAGCTCCTGTGTGGGCATTGAGACTGAAAAGCAGCCTGGGGGAAAGGGAGTTGGGGAGAGTGGAGGAGTGTTATGGGGTCACAGATGAAGGCATAGAAAGGATAAGATCTCCCACTGCTCTACCAGGACCTTTTCATCTCCCCTAACAATAGAAAAAAAAAAAGTCTGTAGTTGCATGAGTTCATTTTTAAATAATTCTCATTTGTGAAGCGAAGAATGAAAAGTAAGTTATTAGTAACTTTTTGTGTATTTAAGGGAGGATTCAGTTTCCCACAGTGCTGTAGGCTGGTTTGCTTCTTCCTCGCCCTCCAAGCACAGCACAAATACACCGTACATGCTCGCCATATCTAATATGTCAGCAGCTCTGCGCGGCTTCCAGTTTATCTTTTTGATGTTGTATAATCTGGTGGAGGAGACTTATCTTCACTGATGGTCGCAAGTTTATTATGGCCTGAAAAGCTAAATTTGTCAGCGTTCTTGTGTCCCTGACGCCTCCTGCAACTTTGGAACAACGATGACACTTTCAGCAGCTGTCAAAGTCACCAGGAAAGATGATGATAAATATTGCACATCCAGATGATTTGCCGTTCTTGGGAAGTAGCTGTCTCCAGTCTTCTAATCCTTTGAGTCTGGCAGAGTACAGTATTGATTATAGGGGATGTCTGTCTGTTATCGTTAGTACCACTGCTTTTAGGTTGTAACTCTGCCAGGTGCTGACTGTAGTGGTGGTGAGGTGTGTGGACACAACACTAACACTTTAACCTTCAGGTTATATGGCCTGGGTCAGATGACTTCAGGCAGTATGGTGGAGTTTTGCTGTGTCTTAAAAGCTCATGTTAGTCCCTCTCTGTAGCCAGCGTGGACTTCCTCAGCCTACTAGAAAGGGTGCTTAAAATAATATGGCATTTTCTGATCCATTGAATAAATCTAATCAATCAGCTCTAATCAGAATGTGAATTTTAAGTCTATGAAAATAATTAATATGTTTTATATTTACTTATATAAATATAAGCGTGGTTCATTAGTGCTTCTTTGAGTTTATCTTGAATCGCTTCATGATTTTTTTGCCTAGGCTTTGTTTTTATCACTTAGTAATAAAAGAATCAAATGTGTTGTGGGATGGGGGATGTTTGCATAGTAATCTGAGGTGTTTCATTAAGTCAGGGGGAGGTTTTGGCATGCTGAAGTAGGCTGCTTGTTGCTAGGCTACCAGCAGCCCTTATAGCTAGAATATGAAGTTAAAATCCATGTTGAATTTCTCGATGATTCTCGGGGCATATCTGTTTTGTTATTTGGCATATAATTAGTCAGCCTCTTGAAGCAAAAATTATAGTTTTTACCCCTTTGGGCTTTCAACAAGCTAATTATTTTTTGTGTAACTGCTTTTGCTAATTATGCAGATGCCTTATTCCCCTGGGACAAATACATTTTCAGCATGAAAGAGCCAATAATTGCCAGCTAGTCAGCTGCTGTCTTTGTGTGGCATTGTGCGATGCTCTTCAGTTGGATATGATAACAGAGAGAGGCTATTGGACATAACCAGAGACTCCTAGGAAATTCGTGCTGCATGGATTTCCTTGGTGTTATGTCTGGAAGGACTTGAACATAATCCGTGGAAAAACTATACACATTTGAATTGATTTTGGATCAGACCTGGACTCTGGAAGACTTTATAATCAAGTTTCAGGACAGATTAAGAATGAAATAAGTGATCTACTGAGAGATACAGCCTGTTAAGAAATGATGACCCAGACCAAAGCTATTAGTAACCAAAACATTTCGGTGTGTTCTTTACGCTCTTGGTCATTGTGATATCATAATACAATGTTCTCTGGTGTAAACCTTCCCTTTTTTACGTGTTACACAATTTTTGGGAGATGCTTCTACATTGGTGCTGAAGGCGTGTTGCAGGGGTGTGCTAGTACAGTTCCTGTGGGTAGGGAGAGGGTTGAGCTTTCTTGGCTACGCTGAATTTTTGCTTAGTTCAGGAGAGCAACATTTAGGGATAGTGGAGGTGGCAGTGGTCTTGGGCTGCAAAGAAATTGAAGCAGAAGATCTTAAAGCCAGGAGTCTGGAGCTGAGATCTCTCCCCCACAGGTACTTGCACAGAGTAAGATGAGGTGAGGGGGCAATTTCAGTAGTTGCCTGTGTGAGTTAGTGTTCTAAGAGTGAGCAGGTTAATTAAAATAGTGCTAAAGTAGCAGATGTGATAATTCCAGTTACTGAAAGCCTATGAAGGAGGAGCAGTGTTACTCTCGAATAGACCTACTTCTGTATTTGAGATATTGCTTAAGGTAAACATGCTACTCATTGAATTAATTCTGTTTATGATGAGGGTGACAACTTGGAGACCATTAGATAGAAACTAGAACTGTTCTAGATTCTTGTGTTTTGCTGGTAATAAAGCAGAGTCATTGAAATGCTATTTTGATATTTAATAAAGAGGAAAAATCATCCACATTTGCCAAGCATTGCCGTGCATCTGTGGGTGGGATATTGTTTGTCAACACACATCCAAGCACTGGAATTACAGACTGGAAGGAGGGGTGACTGTGATAACACAGAGAAATTTTGAACTGACAAAGGCTGCATTGCGCTTT